TAGGTGGGGTCTTACCAAGGAATTATATAAGTGTAACATCACCTCCCTTGACTTAAATTCCACACATCTAGAGATATAACCCAACATTCTGTTCACTTCAACTGTTCACTGTTACTTCAAAAAGCATATTACATCACATTAAGATATTGTTTGTGACAAATACCAGAGCAGCGCTACAGGACTGCTTTAGCAATTGCGGACTGAAAGAGCGCATGCGCATTATAGTGACGTCACTACCGGGAAGCCTGCGAGCATCCTTGCGCGCGAGATAGAAATTACAGCGCGATAAGTATCTGGCAGCCGGAGTAGTTGAGGAAAAGGGAGACGGGTAAAATCTATGCGGCAGTTTTGTCCAGGACTATAGGAAACGCCGCCTGACAAAGCTATATGCACGGCAGAACTGTGACAGGGGGATTTTTAGTAAAACTGGAAGTGAGGAGTGCTTGAATTGTGCAGTGAAATGGCCTGGTGGCCGCGCGGGTAAGCATACTTGTTGCTATTGTTTTTCTGGAGGTGGGGGAGTTAAATGTTAAAACCCGGCTCTTAAGCCGAGTTGAAAAAATATGTCAAAATTACAGTGAAAGACCCATCCTTGCTCATCAACTGAAATTATGATGGCTTAGGCTGGTGCCTAGTCATTTTCTTAGCTTTAAGTAAGTTTATGTATGGCAAACGCGACGGGCCGCGCGGTGTCCCGCCTTTATTTTTGAACGTGTTTTTTATTATTATTAATTGTTATGCTTGAATGTGTAGATGTGTACCGCTCTGGTTACGCTGTTTGGCTTTATAATGAACTGTCAGAGAGCTGGTCACTACATTTAACTCTTAATTCGTTGTGTTGCTCCTACGTGTTCTTCCACAGCGCTGTGCTGGAAGAACAATTATGGAAACTCGATGAACTGCTTGCATAGTGAAATTGCATAACCTGTCACATTATGTCCATTTAAATGTTACTGAAAGTTGAGCAAAGTTCCATTGTGGTGTGTTTAATGTTAATGTCATTCTTGAATCCGAATAATTTGTGCAGGAGTATTCGTCCATTTGTTTTACTTTTGAGCCCGTGGAATGCACACTTGTGAAAACATGCAGTGCACTGCATCTCCAGGTTTGAGCTCTGTCTTGCATTTCCAGTGATGAGGGGGAGGAGCAAGTTTATCAGGACACAGACTCCGACGTAGCTGAGCAGCGGGACAGTGGTAAAGTAAAGGTGAAATGGACACAGGATGAGGTAAGTGAATGGGAATTCTGTTTCCATCAGTAGGCTTTATCACTGTCTATTTAAATGAACCGTTGCCTATTTCAGTTTCGGTACATTCAGTGTTTTGCATGAAACTTGGGAATCGTGTGTATGCCTTTACTTCTAAACTGTTGTTATACTGTCTCCTTTGTGGGTGGACACATTTCCTTCCAGGATGACTATCTCAGAACTTTGGTTCAGAAATTTGGCCCTCATGACTGGAAATCCATAGCCAGCTTCTTACCAGTAAGTACTTTTGTATGTGAACATTGCTTCCCACTAAAGTGGATTCACTAGTGCATGACCAGGAAGTACATCTGCTATGTATTATTTCCGTCTTTAAATACATGAAACTCTGTATCAGCCTTTATAAGGTATAATATGTCTGACTGTTCCTGCAGAATCGCACTGAACACCAGTGCCAGCATCGCTGGTTTAAGGTTCTGGATCCTGATCTGGTCAAAGGGCCTTGGACCAAAGAGGAAGATGAGAAGGTAAGCCTTAGGACAGAAGTGTTCTAGTGTTGTTGTTCAAGGTTTCTTCTCCACTAAACCACAGCCAATTCCTGTATGCTCTGCACACTGGCAATAAAGAGTTCTGAGTTTTCACTGTGGACTTTTTGCCATGCCCAGGCTATCATCGCTATTGTATTCATAAATCTCATTTGACACCCTCCGTGTCTGTTGCATTTCTTTTTTCCATTCAGGTGATACAGCTGGTCAATAAATATGGCAACAAGCAGTGGGCTATGGTGGCAAAACACCTGAAAGGCAGGCTTGGCAAACAGTGTCGGGAGCGTTGGCACAACCATCTCAACCCTGACGTGAAGAAGTCTTCCTGGACAGCAGAGGAGGACCTCGTCATTTACAAGGCACACTGTGTGCTTGGCAATCGCTGGGCTGAGATAGCCAAGCTTCTTCCTGGCAGGTAACTGCACGGTGCCTTGCTTATTTAGGTAACCCTCTCCTCACTGGCCGTGAGTGAATGAAGTCAAGATAGATACAGCTGCTTTATACTTTTCATGGTTTTGTTTTTCTTGGTTAATGGTTTCGATGCTTAAAGGTAAGTATAAGATGTTTCTGAAGGGTAAATGAAAATGATTTTGTAATTACATAATGGAGTTATTTTTTTCATGACCAGGATTAATAAACACCAAGCAAATGTTTTCCTTGTGTAAAACCTGATACTGTGCCCAAGGGATGGGAATTTCAGGCAGAATTACTGTTAAAATTTCGCCAGCTGTTATTCAAAACAACACTGGATTAACCCTGCCCTCAGCCCACCCCTAGTGCATACACAGAAACGTGTATGGGATGTGGATCAAAATATTTATTTCTTTCCATAAAAGATGGGATATAACTTAATAATAATAATAATTTTGCTCAATATAGTCTCTGGAATCCATAATATTTTCAAACAGTGAAAGACAGATGTCTGCTGGTGATCAGTTTTTCGCCTCAGTCATTTCTGTTATATTTCTCACAAATGTGCCACACTGAGTAAACCTGAATGAAAAAGGTTGGCTCGTAGAGCTCATGCAAAGACCAGAAGATAAACTTCAGAACAAGTAAACCCCAAACTTAGTGAACAAATACATTGCAGCTAATTATCCTGCAGGTTAAATAACATTTAAAATGGGTCGTTTATTTGATTTTAAGATTTTTTTTTTTTCCCCCCTGATTTTATACTATTTCTCAAACATTCAACAATGATTACTCACCCCTTCTGTGCACAACAACCTAAAGTCCTTTATTAAGCTGATCTTGGTCTAATTTCCTTTGTTCTCCCTGTGTGGTTAATTAGTAATTCTGAGGTGTTAGAATTATGTTAGTTAATTCAACTAACTAACCAACCTAAATTACTCTGTGCTTTTGTAAATCATAGTTTGTTTATCTGTATTTTACATTTAGTGCTTTAAAGAAAAGGGTGTGGGTTTTTAAAAATGTGTGCATATATGTGTATATATTATACTTTTAAACGAAACATACATACACTAGATGGAGGTTAAAGGACTGTCCAGGGCTGTTAGAGGGTTGTATAAAGGAGATGTTTTGCCATGTCAGGACAGACAATGCCGTGAAGAATCACTGGAACTCTACTATCAAGCGCAAAGTAGAGATGGGCTGCTATGCTGGGGAAGATGTTTTCCTGAATTTAGAAGAGAGTGCAGTTGTCACCCAACCAAATCCTGACCAGGAGGTAGGCTGGCTGTATGGCTTTCTGTTAGCCTCATTAGTGGGGAGTGTTAGTCTCTGTATGACATCGTCTCTGTATGACATCGTCTCTGTATGACATCGTCTCTGTATGACATCGTCTCTGTATGACATCATTACCGGCTCTGCTAGCTGGTTTGGCACTGACTGCTCGTTTTTTTGTAGGTGGCTGTTATGGATGCTGCTGCAGTGTCACAATCCACAGGAAAGGTAAATGATAAATGGGTTATACCAAACTCTGCTGCACTCAGATTTTGGTGTTTTACTGAATTGCATGGTAGTTATGTGGGAGTCCAATGGGACCCGTTTAAAGGGAGAATTTACAGTTTAAAACGACATCAGGATATTGGCTATAACCACTTTTGTGTGTTTTTGGCCTTGTAGGATATTCCATGCACCTCTGCAACTATGGAAGCTCCACCCACAATGGAAATATCAAAGCATACTTCTCCTCAGCAGCCCCGCGGGGGGGCGACACCCAAACCAGAGATGGACACCTCCTCAGAGTCGAACCCGAGCTGCTGGGTGGTGGACAGTTCAGGGTTCCTGTCACCCACATCTGGTCCTGCTTTCAAGGAGGTGATGGAGCTGATGGAAGGGGTGAGTGGTGTCTGGAGCTTTGGAAGTGGTGCTGAAGCTCCGGCTGTGCAACCTAACCCTGGAGCACATTGGCATCCCTTATGGGCAAAGCATCCATCTGCACTGAATAGTAGGTTCTAGAGGTGCAGTTACGCTAACACAAAAGCATTTCCGTCTCGCTGCCTTCCATTATAGCTGCGCAACGCGAAAATCAGATTCCTCACTTTTGGTAGCAGAGCGCTTCCGCGAAGCAATTTTGCGCCAAGTTCATTTTAATTGAACTTTGACCCACAAATTCACTTAGCTCAACCAATCAGGCATGGTGTGGGTGGGATTGACCTTTCGGTATTGCTAGAATAAAAATTTACCCTGCCCACTTTTGCTCAGTGCTGTGTAGACGTGTTTTTCACACTAGTGTGAATGCACTTTAAATGTTGCGAGTGCATTTGTATGCAGAAGATGAACATGACTGTTGCATGTAGCAGTTGGTAGTAGTTTACCTAAAACTAATATACCAACACCTAAAGAGTTAACACATTGGAACAGATGCAATTAAGCGAGTACTTATCTGGCCTCTTATCTATGGTTGGGTATCGTTTAGTTTTTTCCGATACTAGTGCTAAAATTACTTTTATAATGGTGCGGGTGGCTGCACCAACACTTAACAAAAAATAAGGCACAAAACGAAGGTAAAAAACATTTAAAGAACGGCTTTTTACATTTCTAAGGCAAATTTAATTTTGAATTGAATATATTAACTTTATGTCTTAAATGCTTAAATATAAATTGACTTATTCCCCGGTCTTTACACACAATTGTTTGTAGGTTAAACATTTGTTGCACATCTGGGTGTCAGTCCTTTCGAGTGGAATACAGCCAAACTTCAGATTGTTTACATTTAGGCATCCTATCTGTTTAAGGTAGGTACTTGCTAACGGTATTATTAGGTGTCTGTCGACATCACAGAAAGTGTAATGTTAGCTAGTCGTGGCACGTGAGGTTTCATGATGCTTCTGCAGTCCTTAACATTAGAGGGAAAATAGTTTTAATCAAATTTAATCGACAGGCATTTAAGTGGCAGTGAAGAATGGGGCACCGAAATTTGCAGTCTGATACCCAAAGCTGCTGTTATCTTGCAGGACTTGGAAGGTTTGTGTGATCTGACCGCGTTTGACCTGCCAGAAGAAACCCAGGGCTCTGAGGTGCTGCAGTTCCGTCTGGAGGAGGGCACACTGCAGGAGCTGAGCCGGGGCAATCGGGGGGAGCTGATTCCCATCTCCCCTGGGGCAGCTACCCCTCCCTCCATTCTAACGCGCCGAAGCCGCAGACGCATTGCCTTGTCCCCAGACGCCAACGACAGCATGACTCCTAAGAGCACCCCGGTCAAAAACCTGCCATTCTCCCCTTCACAGGTACCGTGACATACAAAGATGACTTGGACCTTTTCATGCTTTTTAGCCTGGACCTTGCTGAATATTTCCTTGACTAGTTGTCACAGCTGTTCTCTGCATTGCCTGTATTCTATACATTGCCTGTATTGCGGAGATGAACTTCTCTCAATATGGCTTTAATTTTCAGTTCCTTAACCTGTGGACCAAGCAGGATACCCTAGACCTGGAGAACCCATCCCTCACCTCTACCCCCGTGTGCAGCCAAAAAGCCATCGTCACTACACCTCTGCACCGGGACAAAACTCCACTCACCCAGAAGGAAAGCTCTGTGTATGTTGTCAGAGCTTGGTTGTCGTCTGCAGTACATTTGAAGAACCCGTCTTTGGTGTGTAGAATTCGAGTAAGAACTGTAACAAAATGAATCTCCATTACAGGTTTATCACTCCAAATCATAAGTCTGATATGGACATTACGCCCCGCACTCCCACGCCCTTCAAAAACGCCCTGGAAAAATACGGCCCATTGCGTCCCCTGGTAAGACTGCCGGTTCTGTATCACTCGTGTTTACGGGTCAGTCTGTAGGCCCCATAGTCATGTTTTGTTCCAGTTGTAAATTACTTGTACGTGGAACCTGCACCGGATTTTGGAATTAGGGAGGGCTCTTTTCCTATAGCCACCAACTCCGAACTTAGAGGAAGATCTGAAGGAAGTTCTGCGCAGTGAGGCTGGAATCGAGCTGATAGTGGAGAATGAAACTCCCCCTGAACAGAAACGTAAACAGGTACCAAGAGTGTTTTATAAGTGGAAATATCAAATGGAAAGTGTTTTTAGATGATAAAATAAGCATTTTAAACCAGCCGTGTTTAGTTCTTGGACACACATTGCCTTTACCGTGGATTGTTAGGTACAGATGTAAATGTGACGTATTTGACTAGGAAAACGTACCTTCTACTGCTTTGTGAAATATACTCTCTTTGCTTTGTTTATTAAGCATCGGCCTCCCATGAAAAAAGTGCGCAAGTCTCTGGCTCTGGATGTTATGGAATGCACTGAAAATGTTCCTGTCAGACCTTCGAAATCTACTTTTGCACCCAACATGAAGGTATGGAGAAGTCATTTGCCTTTGACTGGGGATCCTCCTTCAGGACTATGATTCAGTGTTTTTCTTTTGGATTCTTTTCCAGACAGAGACGTCCCTATCAGTCTCTCTCAACTCTTCTTCCTGTGCCAAGAAAGATGAGAATATTCTGAATCAGGGCTTCATTATTGCCCCAACTGAGACCATCCCCATCTCTAGTGTAGTGCCCCCAGCACCGGTGAGTCCACAGTACTTGATTTGTCCAGTTATGGAGGTGCATTTATTTGTAGTTTCAGCTTCTTGAAATTTGTCAGGAATGCTATAATCAAGGACATGTTCTAAGCATAGGAAGACACCTTAAAGAATGGACATCTTGCATGCACATTTCACCATGTACGGTGCTCATAGAAAGTCTTGGGACACTTGCTTATTTCTTTAACCACTGCAAATATATTTGTTTCATAACAGAAATTCATTGACAACCAGTTTAACATCTGCACATATCTTTCACGCAAACATTTTCTTATTAAGCGTAATAATTTTTGACTGACTCATTCAGTTCTTTTCTTGCCATTTTGTAATTGTTGTCATTGACTACCGAAGGGGTTCTAAACACAAATGTTTAATACAAAGGTGTTACTAATTGTAAAGCACCCAATGAAAGTGCATGTCAAACTTTTTAATGTAGAACAGCTCTTTTAGAGCTATAAGTTGGGTTTCAGTTCATTACAACTTTAAATGAATGAATGACTATTGGTATTTTCTAACAGGATATATATTTTTTGTAAATGAATAATGGTTTTGTTATAAAAAATTAACAAAATTTTAGCAGGTTTCCCAAGACTGTGAATACTGTATATAAACCCTTGTGTTTACCTCCCCTGATTTACGCTTTCCTGTGATTTGCACTAAGTACTGTGAAAATCCTGTACTTGTCACTTGCTGTTTGTATGTTGCTCTATAATCCAGTGGAAAAATGCTCCGTGCCTCTGTATATGGATGTCATGACCATAAAGCTGACTGGGCTTGGCTTTGCTTGATCTGTAGCCTAAGCCCACAAAGACGTTGCTGTTCTCACTGACAATTCCTTTTTAAACAGATGTCTCATGATTGGGAAGCAGTGGCGTGTGGGCGGACAAAAGACCAGCTCATCATGACTGAAAAAGCCCGGCGTTACCTTCAAGCATTGAAACCCAAGCCTCCCAACCGTGCCCTCATCCTGTCTTAGACTTTATAACAACCCTGAAGCAAATCCCACTGCTTTCCCTTGTCTACCTTTTCCTCTGCTCATCATGTACAGCATAATTCAAGCTTGCCAAGGAATAACTGATCCAGTAACCATAAATATTGGTCAGAATGACTATAAATTGTTTTTCTGGCAAAGACTGTATCGATGAAAGTACTGTATAAGAAGCAAATACTGCTTCATTGGTACGTCTTGTATCAAGAACTTGCATATTCTCACTTAAGGCAGTATTTGATGATGTCAGGTGTTGTGCTTTGGTTTTTTCTAAACATAGTGGTTCTTTCCTTGGATTGTTATAACATTTACGCTTAGGAGCAGTTAATGCTTATTCAACACTGAAGTGTAACACAATTCAAAGTAAGCTTCTATATGCAGTTAGAATGCAACATTTCTTTCACATTTTGCTTATTTATAGCGTATTGCGTTCAGTTTATCCTGAAAGATTGGTCAGGGACTTTTTCTTTAATGTTTACTTTTCTCTAAGGAAAATAAGGTTACAGTATTTTATTGATCTACTGTTTTATACATTTTTTTTTCCCCAAACCATAGCAATACTTAAATAGTCAGGGGAAAAAGGACTGTTTAAAAACAAGCACTGTGTGTATATGTATATTTGAGTGGAATAGCCAAGTCTCAGGTAGCCATGTGCGCTGGACCCTGACACCCTCTGACAGTGACCTCAGCAATCAGGACAGCAATGGTGCTACAGTTACCCAGAGCATTATCTGCGTCGGTCTTAAAATGCAGCTGTAAAAAGAGGAAACATCTACAGTGACACCTGATAAGGCGCCAGATGTATGTAACTTTCAGGATGCAATTTTGTTTTGATTGTTTAATTGTAATGTCTGATACGGTGTCATTATTATCTAAATAAGGGGTGTTTTAACTCTGGGTCTCACTGGCCAAATGAAAAAGCAATTTACTAGCTATTAACTGTTTGACACCTTAACCTTTAGGTAAAATTATTGATTGTCCAAATACAAAATGATTAAGAGCTTGAGTGGAAGCAAGCATTCTGGGATTCTGGAAGACATGGGTTGGACACCCCTGATCTAAATCATTGTATATGTCTGTACTGTATTATGTGTGGAACACACAAAAAAAAACATTAAAAGTGCAAATTGTAAATTAAGGCTGTGCTTTAACTTTAAATGCCATAGTTAACAGTTTCATCCCATGAAAAAGAGCAGTGATGTCCCTTGTAGAAAGAATGCCTCAAATGTTCTTTACCGTTTGACTATGCCATCACCCCACAACCAGTTAATAGGCTGTCAGACATGCACTGTTACACACTGTCCATGATATAAGGAAACTTCTTTTGACATATTTTCATTTATAGTTGTCAACTTTCCCATGCTTAACAAGGATAAAGACCTGCAGTTTTTTAAATAAATGGAAATATGTGCAAAAACTTTTAACTGGTAGTATATGATTCTCCTTACTGAATGCTTTAAAGTGTTCTGTACCCAGCTGATTTACTATAATGGCTAAGAACGTGAGCGTGAAAAATTAATTCTAAAAACTAAACTCAACGTGTCATTTAAAATATGCCTATTCCTTAGACATTATTTAACAGTTCTACCTTGAGCAATATGCAAAGAAGATTCCACAGTAAGTAAGGATTATCCAGTAGCCGGCTAATTTTTCATGAGTAAACTGACACCTGCACTGCAAGGCGCATGCTTAACTGCCCCGCTGTCGCCAAAGGCACACGTACGCAATCGGAGATCAGCCTGAGGTACGAAGGCCGGGCACAAGATGACTGTCAGCGGTAAGGAGCCAATGAAAAACAGCCACAATAGCCGCCTCCGTGTCTAGAGGAATTCCGAAAAAGCAAACTAGTTTTTTTAGTCGTGATTTTTAGATGATAAAATACATTATTTTACAGCGACACAAAATGTGCAAATAAACTTGCATCCTGAGTAATTCTCTCCATTTTACATTTGAATCAAGTAATTCTTTTGCCAAGTCTAGGAATGTACCATTTTAGAGGGAGGTTAATTTAATTAAAATATAAAGAAAATATATATTGGCTAATGCTTAAATAAATATATTTCTAAAAACTGTAATTATTTTAAACTCATTAGACTTTGTTTTGATTTCAAAGTCTGATCGTTGTTTCAAATTCTCATTCATCTAAATGAGTATTTGTACCCAGGACATGTTAAGTAGGACATTCCGTAAGACCCGGAAGCGCTCGCTGCCGTAATTCTGCTCCAGTCGGAAACATGGCGCTGAATGGTGAGTAATTCACGTTTGACATAGGTAATCAGTAAAAATGAAATGTAATGTTTCTTTAAATACCACGCAAGTAGTGCATCTAAAGGAACTGCAGTTGACGCATCTGTAAAATAATTTCCAGAAATTCAGCAGATTACCCGTGCACTTAGCATTAATCTGTAGGTCGTTGAAGTCTGCAAATACGAAACGATTTAATTAGCTAATCCAAACGTGGTTATTGTAGTCGGTACCCTTGGTCCTTCTGCTCGACTTGACAGTATTGATAGCTTAGCGGCTCGTACTGATTATAATAGCTTCGCAGCTATCGAATGAATGATCGCGTATCTTTCCTGCTATGATTATTCTTGACAGGTAGATGAATAAGTGGACAATACTACATCCACGTTGTTGATAATTATGTTAATAAAATCGAATAATTGAGTTTCAGACATTCCGTCAGGGAGGTATACGTGAGTTTGTCACACGGGCCATGACGGCAAAAGCAGAGAAGTTACAGAAAATTACCTTTCTTTTGTTATAAGTTATTCTATTTCAGTCAGAGAACTATTCATGGATGCTTGTTTTTGTCTCGAAGTTGGGGAAAGGGGGTGACAAGGTGAACCATAATGCTGACGTCATGATTACGAACGCAGGATGCTCTTGGTGTTACCCACATATAAAGTAACCTTTCTAATCCACAGGGATGCTTGGTTTGTTCCTCCTCACTGTGGCACTTGGTGCCCAGGCACTGACTCCCTCTCATCACCTATCTGCTGCGGATGTGGCCAGACTGAAATCCTTCTTGAACCAGCCTTATACGGAGCTTGAATCTGCATACTACACCATTGTAGGGTTGAGCAAGTTGGGTGCCTCAGTGTCTGATGAAAAAGTGAGGAATTCTCTGTGTAACTTTTTATGGGGTGAATGTATGGAGACATGCATTGAGGTTGGTTTAATAAATGAAAGTTTAAGGGTGGGATTCGTTTTTTTAAAGCTGTGTGTAGTTTTTGAGTTAATCGATTCTGTTTGTCCCACCTTTTAACTCGCTGTTCCTCTTTATCCTCAATGTAGGCTGCCTGCCAGTTCTTGAAGTCTCACTTAGATCTTTCAAGTATTGATTCACTCTTCTTTGCTGCGGAGGCCAGCCAAGCACTTTCAGGATGTGAGGTACTATAGGTTAATTGTTGGGGTCATGTGATTTTTGAATATAACTTTATTCATTTCACCCTCACAGCATCTTCAACAGTCTTTAAATAGGGTGGCTGAATCTGGTACTGGTACCTTTCTCTGATTGCTACATTAGTGTTTTTCTGTCAGAATAAGGTTGTTAACGCATTCAGTCTGTTCAATCTACGTAGTCTTTTTAAATTTTTTTATTTGTTTTTGGTATCTGTTGGAAAAAGAACTTGATTTAGACTTCTAACTTTGTTAAAATTGTCCTTTTCACAGTCATGAAGGCTCTTTATCTTTCTGGTATCTGTTGGTTTTGTGACTTGCAGATACCAGTATCCAATGAGACTCGTGATCTCCTGCTGGCCGCAGTCAGTGAGGACTCCACTGTCACACAGATCCACCGTTCTGTCAGTGCACTCAGTTCACTGGGACTTCCTGTGGCCTCACAGGAAGTAGTCAGTGCTCTTGTGGCTCGTATCACCAAAGAAGACAATGTCTTGGCGTAAGTATGTCAGGCCACTTACTAGGGAACTGTCTGAATTTTTTAATCAAATTTAATATGAATATGTGGTGTAGTATTTGCATATAACCTATGCACTCCTGATATATATATTTTAAATCTATAGATTACTTATAATACCAAATACAAAGTAAATGTCATGTCAATCGTTGTTATACTGTATTGTTTAGGGAATAATGGCCAAGATGTCTGTACGTGTTCAGTACAGACGCCGGGTATGTTTGCCCTTCACTTCATTCGCGTGAATTCAGTGTGGTACTTGGCCTGCGGAAAATTCAAGTTTTTTTGCTTTTTGGACCTTTTGGGATTTTTGTTCCCCCTTAAGTATTGTCAATCCACGGTTGGCCGAATCCGCGAATACGGAGGGTCTGCTGTATGTAGGTGTTTTTCTCCTTAAAATAATTGTCTTAATAGTTACTACCACTAGGTGCAACTATGCATACATCTGCTGTAGTTGTAGTAGATTTAGGACGTCACAGGTAAGTAGTAGCATGTTAGGTGTGATAAAGGAAGTGCTGTTTATTTGATTCATGAAGGCTTTGAATATTGTGGTTGAATAACTAACTAGTAGCTTATCTTTGCGCAGGATCATCCAGGTTCTTCAGACTGCCTCTCGGCTCTCACAGCAAGCAGAGATGGGTGGGATCTTGGAGGAGATCGAGGTTAGTGTGCCAGCAGGATTCGGGGAGTCCTGGGCTCTGAAGTAGAGGTCGACCGATATGGGTTTTTCAATAGCCGATGCCGATGACGATATTTAGGAGTCAGGGTCAGCCGATGGCCGATATATGCTGCCGATATTTTTTGGCCGAAAATTGGACGTTTTCCCCTCTATTTGCATGATAAAATATCACATTAATAATAACAAATGATACACAAAATTTCTCAACTTAGCATTTATTGAATACTGACTTGTGTAAATTTAAATATAAACTTAAATAACAAAAACACAATA